CATATCCTTCACAATATTACCAGTAATATAATAATTTATAACATATCTTACCCAAAGTTTGATGGTTCTTCTACAAGTCTCATTGTTATTTTGTCGCCATCAGAACCTGAATATTATAAAATAAACATCATTAACTGCAGAGGTGAAATGCAAAGAGGACGTTAACGGTTTGTCGTCTACTTCACAGCTTGTTTTATACCTGATATTTAGGGAGTTCCGCAGCACATATAAGTTGTTTTTTCGCCAGAATTCATTTATTGATCTCAAATTCTCTGCACAGAGCAGCAAAAACCTTTGCTTTCCTTTAATGCCAGAAATTGTTAGTCTGCACAACCTTTCAGCCACCCCAATATTTTCAATGGTCGACCCCTAACCCAGTAGCAGTATACATGATGCTGAATTATTGCAAACTGCACCAAACAAAACAAATTCGGAGCAAACTGTTTTGTTCATGACATATTCGTTATCTCCAGCATGAGATTCGACAATACGAGTTGTATTTACTTACCTTGTAATGCAAAATATACGAAGAAACAAATCCAGTACAGTCCTGCCATGTTAGGGAAAAAAAATGACAACACGCCGCACTTCCGGTTCACCCACAATGCAGTTTGATTTAAACATGGCTGCCCCCGCGAAGTAGTCACGCCAAATCGTCCAGGTGAATTTCTGCTAGCAACATAATAAAACGGATTTGGTGCAGTAATATAGTGACATACTTGCTATTTCAAAAACAGATAAGTACCCTTACCCGCCGCCGTATTTCTTGAATTGCGACTTGATTATTGAGATAAATAATGTCCACTACTTCTAAGATTGCCCTCTGTGCTTCTTTCGTAACATCAATTGGCATAATAGCAGCGGTTCACCACTATAAAAATACTACCCAGGAACGGATGTTCCAGGGTGTCTTGAGGGATATTGAACGCAGGGAAAGAAAAGAGCGAAATATTCAAGATTTGGAGTTACAAATTGAGCTTACGAAAAGACTGAAAGAAGAAAGGAATGAAGAGAATTATGCAAACAATCCCATAAAAAGTTAAAACACGGCAGTAATGGAAATGAAAACTACTTCTCGTTTGTTCAAATTCAGTGATAGTAATGAAGATGATGACACAACACTCGAAGTAATAATTCAAGAGGTAATTGTATACATTTTTTAAAAATATATTTTTTTTATACACATGTATTTGTTTTATTCTTTATTAATTTGTTTAGTGTTTAATTTATAAATATTTGATATTAAAACAAATCTTGCCTTCATGATACCTGGTGTAATACAGAGCTAGAGTCATTGCCTTCATGATACC